ACCCCCTATACATTTCTGGATATTCCAAACGGATTTGGGGAATATCCCCTACAAATTTCCCGATACCCCCCTCCAAGTCTCCCCACATTCCCACCCGCCTCCCCTGCTCGTTCCGCGCCCGAACCCCGTTATTCCCCCATCCCGACCCCGCTGTTCCCGCTGTTCCCCCGGCAGACGCCTGCGGGCTGTCGGACGCGGCGCACGTGGAGACGCTGCAGGAGAAGGCGCAGGTGGCCCTGACGGAATACGTGCGCTCCCAGTACCCCTCGCAGCCCCAGCGCTTCGGCCGCCTCCTGCTGCGGCTCCCGGCGCTCCGCGCCGTTCCCGCCTCCCTCATCTCCCAGCTCTTCTTCATGCGCCTCGTTGGGAAGACGCCCATCGAGACGCTGATCCGGGACATGCTGCTGTCCGGCAGCACCTTCAACTGGCCCTACGGGGCCGGACAATAGGGATGGACGCTCCGCAGCGGGAACGCCGGATTTGGGATCGGCCGCTCCCCGCGGGAATGGGGGCGCGGCCGATGGGGTGGGGCGCGGAGAGCGGAGGGGTTGGCGCCGAAGGTTTTTGGGGTGGCGGCGTTGTCCCAGGATTTTGGGATTCTGAAAGGTTTTGGAGGCGTGGGGTTGTCCCAAAAGGTTTTGGGGTCCTGGCATTGTCACCAAGAGTTTTGGGGTCGTGACATTGTCCCAAAAGGTTTTGGAGGCGTGGGGTTGTCCCAAAAGGTTTTGGGTTCCTGGCATTGTCACCAAGAGTTTTGGGGTCACGGCGTTGTCCCAAAAGGTTTTGGGATTCCGAGAGGTTTTGGAGTCGTGGCATTGTCCTAAAAAGTGTTGGGGTTCCAAAAGGTTTTGGGGTCCTGGTGTTGTCCCAAAAGGTTTTGGGATTCCAAGAAGTTTTGGAGTCACGGGGTTGTCCCAAAAAGTTTTGGGATTCCAAAAGGTTTTGGGGTCCTGGCATTGTCACCAAGAATTTTGGGGTCGTGACATTGTCCCAGAAGGTTTTGGAGCCGTGGGGTTGTCCCAAAAGGTTTTGGGATTCCAGGAAGTTTTGGAGCCCAAGTTTTGGGGTCCCAGCATTGTCCCAAAAGGTTTTGGGATTCCAAGAGGTTTTGGGGTCTTGGCATTGTCCCAAAAGGTTTTGGGATTCCGAAAGGTTTTGGAGCCATGGTGTTGTCCCAAAAAGTTTTGGGATTCCAAGAGGTTTTTGGAGTCGTGGCATTGTCCTAAAAAGTGTTGGGGTTCCAAAAAGTTTTGGGGTCCTGGCATTGTCCCAAAAAGTTTTGGGATCCCAAAAGGTTTTGGGGTCCTGGCATTGTCCCAAAAGGTTTTGGGATTCCAAGAAGTTTTGGAGTCGTGGCATTGTCACCAAGAGTTTTGGGGTCGTGACGTTGTCCCAAAAGGTTTTGGGGTCCTGGTGTTCTCCCAAAAAAGTTTTGGGATTCCAAAAGGTTTTGGGGTCGTGGCATTGTCCCAAAAATTTCTGGGATCCCAAAAAGTGTTGGGGTCTTGGTGTTGTCCCCAAAAGAAGTCCCAATGTTGTCCCAAAAAGTTTTGGGGTCGTGGTGTTGTCCCCAAGGATGGAGGGGACACAGAGAGGGGGACAGAGCCACCCCCCCACACCGGGATTTCGGGATTTGGGATTTGAGGATTTTGGGATTTCAGGATTTTGGGATTCCAGGACGACTCCCGGCCGACGGAATCCTCGCTCCGCCATATAAACTCATTAATTAACGCCAATTAAAGACATTTCCTACAACCCCAGGGGCTCTGGATTCGGGATCCGGCGGAAAAACTGGAACTGGGGAGATCAAAGCCACCCCAAAAACAGGAACCTCTCCCTAAAAATCCTGAAATTGGGATTTTTTTGGGGGGGAAAAATGGGGATTTCAGGGACTCTTCTTCACTTTGGGTTTTTTTTTTGGGGGGGACAAATCCCGCTGGGAAGAGCTGGAGCAGCGGGATGGGGGGATTTGGGATTTGGGTTTTTCTTCCCAAGGTTTGGGGGGGATTTGGGGTTTTCCTGGAGGAATTTGGGGTTCCTTTTCCCAAGGTTTGGGGGAGGAATTTAGGATTTCTCTTCCTGAACAGAGGGATTTGGGATTTCCTTCCCAAAGTGGAGAGATTTGGGATTTTTCACCCAAAGTTTGCGAGGATTTGGGGTTCCCCTTCCAAAACTGGGAGGGATTTGGGGTTTCTTTTCCCAAATTTTTGGGGGGATTTGGGGTTTCTCTTCCAAGGTTTTGGGGTGGATTTGGGATTTCTTTTCCAAAGTGAAAGGATTTGGGGTTCCCCTTCCAAAATCGGGTGGATTTTGGGGTTCCTTTAATCAGGTTCGAGGGATTTGGGATTTCTTTTCCAAAGTGAAAGGATTTGGGATTTGTTTGCCCAAGGTTGAGGGATTTGGGGTTCCCCCTCCTAAATCTTGGGGGATTTTGGGGTTCCTTGTTTCAGGCTGGGAGGGATTTGGGATTTCTCTCCCAAACTGGAAAGATTTGGGATTTCTCTCCCAAATTTTGCGGGGAATTCGGGTTTGTTTTTCCCAAACTGGGATGGATTTGGGATTTTCCCCTCCAAAACTGGGAGGGTTTTTTTGGGGGGGAAAGTCCCTTCCCGAATTTCGGGCAATTTCAGCCTCCTCATTTCACCCCGACCCCAAATTAAAATCAACAATTACACTTCATTTATTACAAAAAAAAAAAAAAAACCCAATTAAAATATTACACAATTCCCATCATTCCCACCATTTCCCTAGAAAATATTTTAGGATTTGGGGGTCCTCCCCCCCCCAAAAAAAATTAACAAACCCCAAAAGGGTTTTTTTTTTTTTTTCCCCCAAACCCCCAATTTAAGACCCCCAAAACCCCTTTAAGGCAACCAGGGGGGTCCAAACCCCATAAAAAACCCTATTTACAACCAGGGCAAGGCACTGGGGGGGGATCCCAGAGGATTTTGGGGACATTTGGGGACATTTTAGGGTGTGGGGGGAGGGCGGGGGGGTCACACCGCCATCACCCCCCAATTCTGGCACCCCCAAAACGAGGAATTTTGGGGTTTTTTAACACCAAAAAAAGGCACAAAAAAAGTCTTTGGAGAGGGGGGATGGGGGAGGGGGGGGATGTTTTTTTTTTGGGGGGGATGTCCCCTCCCCAAAAAATGTCCCTTTTTTGGTTTTTTTTTGGGGTGGCGGTTTCGGGGTCACCCCCGGAGTTTGTCGTAGTCGCTCACCATCCTCTTGATGTGGAAGAGTTTATTCCGGAGGGTTTTGGATTCCTGTTTTTTCTCCTGGTATTCCGGGCTCTGGGAAGGATTTGGGGACGTTCAGGGGACGTTTGGGGACACGGAACGGGGGTGGGTGACACCAAAAAATGGGGGGGAAAACCCCAAAACTCACCCGTTTCAGGTCCTTGAGGTGGTTGTACTCCTCGGCCAGGGCCTGTGGGGACAGCGGGGTCAGGGACAGAGGGGACAGAGGGGACAGGAGGGGACAATGGGGACAGAGGGGACAGGAGGGGACAATGGGGACAGGAGGGGACAGAGGGGACAGAGGGGACAGAGGGGACAGGGGGG